CCCAGATCACAGCCAGGCTCACGCATAGCAGGGAGGAGGAAGCAACCTATAGAGGTGCCTCCTCTGCCAGTGTTGGCTTGTGAAGGGACCCTGGAGGTGGGAGCTTCAGTAGCTGTGGCAGTAGCAGACAGCGCTTCAGCAGCCCTGCAGCAGCTGCTCAAGGCCTGTCCTGCCCTCTGGGGCTACCATGTCTAAGGGGGTAGAAGTGTAGCCTCGGTCCCCAGCTTCCTTCTTTCCTGCCTCAGGGGAATACGTGGCACCTCAGCCCCCAAGCTTCAATCCTAGACCCAGAGGGCAAGAGCAGCTGGGCCTTCGAAAAGACTTATTGCCAGCCCCCAGGTTCTCTTCTTTGATGGGTCATAAGATTAAGGGGTGAGGCCAGGGACGGGGAGTAGGAACCAAATTACTGGCTGGAGGCTGTTCCCCAGTCAGAATAGATGTTGAGAAGCCCCTAGTGACTTTACATTGACCTGGTCTATTTGGGCCCATTATCATGTAATCAAACTTACAAATTTCTACTCCCATGTGTTTTTCTGGAAGGTTCCAGGGAGGACACATGTATATTCATAAGTTTTGTTATATAACCCCAACCTGTCACCTCAAAGGTTGGTAGCCATCGCCCATCCTGGCATCCTGGGGGTGGGAGAAACAGATGAATTTAACTTAGTCTATGATGGTGGGGGTTCAGACTCGGGGTCTCCTCTCCATCTTGCTCTTAAGATGTATTCTCCTCATACTTTGTGTGCTTTTATTCTGTAATAAACACGTATTGATGGCGATCAGTCTGTCATCAGCTAGTACTAGTACTCATTCTTGACACTGGGAGCCAAGAACCAGGGAACACCCTCCTCCATAGGGACCTAACAGGTTGAGCCCTCTAGATTGGAGACCTTACATCAATTAGACTTGGAGCTTGTGGTCACTGAACTTTCCTCTCAGCTCCAGAAATGCCATTTAATCATTAGTAATAATATTCCTGCCTAAAAAAGAAAGAGAGATGCTAAAATTTTGTATGATAAGCTTTGTGATGGTCCCTCCTATAATCTTCGTAATAGTCCCAGGAGGTTGTGATCCTTCTTTATAGATGGAAATAAACAAAATCCAGATTAATTTGCCAAATCCTAGCAGAGCCAAATATCCACATCACCCAGCCTCCATGAGTGACTGACATATATTACTGAAAGGAAGACTGAGGATGATTTATTTGACAAAGACCATCCAGGCCATAGTCTTTCTATAAGCCATTTATTTTTCCTGTCTTTTCTATATTCAGACAAATTACAACTGTTTGGTACAATTCCTGTGATGAAGCCACATGTAAAGTGTCAGGACCTGTGTGTACAGGTGCATGGGGAAGAATGTGTTTTCACCATGATGTAAATACCTAATTGACATAACTTGTACAGGAATGTGATGAGACCTACAAGAAGGACAGAGGTGACTTGCAGTCTGATTGCTCTTTGGCTTCATTCTTGTCACATATTTCTTGTATGGCAGCAGGAACAAGAGCTTAGGGCAGAACAGGCAGACTCTCTGAGGCTGGGCTGCTATGTGAAGTTTATGAGACTTCAAAGCTACTGGTTGTCTTTCCCTTTTCTGTACCATTGCCTCTCAGGTCAGTAGGTTAGTGTCCTCTAAGGAGGGTAACTGTACTAACAGGGGCAATCCAGTAGTCCACAGACCCTGCTTGCAGCACCTGTGTGCTATGCCTGCCACTGGAAGAAGGGGGCTGAGAGCACAAAGTAAATACAGTTTTTTTCTCTTCAGCCACAAGGGACTTAATTCTTGAAAATTTTCTTGATAGAAAACTTGCCAATTAAACAACTCAAGACCTTAAAACTCAAACAAGTTTAGGTTTGAAAAAATTTATTTAATTGTACCTTAAGATTTGTACATTTTGCTGCATGTTAATTCTACCTTAACAACAGTAACAAACAAACCACAATCAAATATAGTGCTATGAATTCATCAGACTGGATAAAATTTTTAAAAGACTGACCACCGAGTGATGCTGTGAAACTGGAATGCTCAGGAATGGTTGGCATATAGACTGGTACAAACACTTGGAAAACTGTTTATTACTGTCTTCCAAAGTTGAACATAAGCACACCTTCCCAGGGATTCCTCTTCTAGGGCCATATCCAACAGAAATGAAAATATGTGACTGTCAAAAGGTATACTAGAAAATTCATAGTAGTAATAGCTTTAATAGCTAAAAAATGGAAACAACATAAATGTCCAACGATAGAATGTGTGAATAAATTACATTATGTTCATAAAATCAAATACCCTAAGACAATGAGGATGAACAAGTTACTCCTGCCCACTACAAAATGGAAAACTATCTCAAACATCACAATGGAAGAAGTTTGACAGTAAAGAATGCATAGTGAATAATTCTGTTTATATCAAATCATGAGGCAGAACTAATCTATGGTGATAGAAATTAAGATAGTGGTTTCTTGGGAGGATCAAGGAGTAAAGAGTAGGGCAGGGAATGAGGAGGACTCCCAGGTGCTAGAAATGTCCTATTTTATCATCTGGGTGGCAGTTACCACTTTTAGAAAATTCATTGAGCTGTACACTTAGTCTATGTAAATTAGACTACAATAAAAAATTGCTTAAAGAAGGTTTGGGATACTCAAATTGAAAGTGAACCTATGAAAGCTTTTAAAAATACACAATTTCAGCTGGGTATGGTGGCTCATGCTTGTAATCACAGCACTTTGGAAGGTGGAGAACTTCAGGAGGATCACCTGAAGCCAGAAGTTCAAGACCAGCCTGAGGAACAGACAGAGACCCTGTCTCTCCAAAAATTGGAAAAGTTTGCTAGGAGTGGTGGCATGTGCCTGTAGAAGTCCCAGCTACTTGGGAGGTTGATGGAGTTTTGCTTAAACCTAGCAGTTCGAGGTGATCTGTGATGATACCACTGTACTCTAGTCCAGGCAATAGAGTGAGACCCTGTCTCAGAAGAAGTAAAGAAAATAAATAAAAATGAAGATGCACATTTTTTTAAAAGAAAACAATAACAGCAATAAATTAAAGCGATCCTCTGTGACCTTTTACAAGTGTTTGTTCATTGCTCTAATTCAAGCTCTGACATTCTTGTGACAGCTTATAAAAACATGCAGCAACAATAATGAATGCCATTCAGCAATAGGCTTCCACCTGTTGATGTAAATACAACTGTGAAATACTGCTAGACCAAGGTTATGAAACCTTACAAAGTTGTTTGTACAGTGCTGCCAATGTTTACGATGGTGGCCAGTTCACAAACTTAATTGTCAGACTCCATAAATGAGAAGAAAAAGAGGAAGGAGAGTGGGGATTAGAAGAAAAAGAAAAGGAAAAATGTGAAAAGAGCAAATGGAAAAAAGGGAAAGAAGAAAAGAGAAATAGAGAAAATATCTAGTATTTAGAATTTAGTTAGTTTTATCTCAAAATCCTTATCCCCAAAATGGCTCTGTATGGGCCAACAGAGCCCAGTTAAAATAACATGGTGTCTTTAACTAGTCTTTCTAAACAACACGAGGCATTTTGGCCAATACTGCGTGGTAATTGGTGTTCTCTCCTATTTCTTCATTTCTCCCTTCTGTAAGTCCTGGAAGGAAATACACTTACATAGGTTAACCTCCCAACTCCCAACATGATAAGTCACAGAAGAGAGAGACCAGTGAAAAGATATAGTTCTGCTTTGATTACAACTGACAGTGGTTGAGAGAAATGTGATAAACATTCTGAGCTTGAGACACAAACTGGGCTAGATGCACTTGGTATTAAATAAGTCCACCTCTTCACTTGGCCCCATGGTCTTGCCTTTTTCTTCCAGCACTTCTTGGGTTGGAAAAAATGGGAACCCTCACATATGCAAATCATGACTAGGAGAAGCACCATCATGTCCTACTCTGAAAACCACATCATTCTGGAGTGCAACCAAACCCTGTCCAAGGAAGCTAAAGACTAAGAAACAAGGCTGTGGCAGATCACTTCTGTCTTTTTTTTTTTTTTTTTTTGCTTTTGTTTGTTTGTTCTTGTAAATTGCTCCAATCCAGAGGTTTTTTTTCTCCGTGCCTGATGTTAAAGAAGTCCCTATTCTGGAAAACTAGGAGGTTGGGCTTAGGAACACTCAATAGCCTGCAAATGATTGACACTCTCCAACAAACGAGGTTACCACAGTGCCATTTATTTGATGGTAATAGGAAGAAACAGACCTCTGATGATTGGTGCCTTGAGAGAATGAGAGTTAAAGAGTAAACCAATCAAGCTACAGAACTGGAACCCTGAAGTCATTATCTGCATAACAACACATGTGTCAGCAACAAACCCAAGCCACAGCCTGACTTTCCTACAACCCCAGCAGATATCAGTCCACCAAAACTATTTTGTCTCATTTTATAAGTGACAAAACCGAGGCACAAAAAGGGTAAATGTCCCCCCCAAAGTCACTTGATAAAGATAATGTAGTCATGATGAGAAACCAAATCTGCTGTCTTACTGGAATTCTTGATGGGTTAGTACCCCCTCATTATATCACTGGTTACAATGTTAGCTGGGTTTTGAATATAGTTTACTTTTTTTAATCATTTTAAATCATGGAATCATTTCTAAATACCCAGTTCAGTTGCACACTCACATTATTGTACAAGAGTCCATCACCATAAATTCTTCATCTGCCCCACTTGAAACTCTGTACCCATTAACCACTAGCTTCCCTTTTCCCCTCTATCACCTGGGTGTTATTTTACAGCACAATGTAATTTGGGTTTTTAAAATTTGGTTTATAATCCAAAAATATTTAATTACAGTTGCAGGAGAAAGGGAACAGGGGAAGAAATCAATCAGAACTCATACTACTTAGAAAACTCTATGTGTGTGTGTCTTTAAAAGACTCTCCACCTCCCAGCCGCCTCCTCATACTTTGCTACTGGGTTGTTTCGTCCCTAGGTTTCCTGACTTCTCAAGACAGGGCAGTATGGGCAATCTTCTTTGCAGTTTCGAAAGCAGGTTTGTTGCCATGGAGTTCACATTCTGAGCCGAGTTGGGGAGTATAAAGGTAACAGTTTGTTTTTAGTTTCAAAGATCTGGCAAATAGATAGGTTGCTGCTCTTCTTCTGGAAAAGCCTGATTGGTGAGATTCCTTCAAGAACTCAGCCCCAAAGTGTTTTATCCCATCCCCTTACACTCTTGAAAACAAGTTTGCAGAGACCTCTGAAGGGAAAACCTGTGGTGCACCAATGGCTAATCCTGGACGTGGTACTGTTTGCAATGGGAACATTTACAGTCACACCAAGCAGAGCAACGGCTCACAAGGTGGAAAGTGCACAAAGAATGGAATTGTGAAAGAAGCCCAGGTAAGAGGCACTCAGCTTACTTAGCTTTGCTAAGCTATTGGAGCCCGTCCCAACTTAATGCATGCTCCTTTTAAGGAGTGTTTTTATGTGTTTTGACTCTTCAATTCAGCTAATGTTTGTATTTTAGAGAATCTAAGGCTGTATGGATCTCTGTGTATCCTGTCTTGTGTAAAGAAAAGTTTTTTCTTAATCCACACCTAAAATTCTTGGTAGCCAGCATGCAGCTAATATCAAATGCTGGTTACCAACAATTTTAGGTGTGGATTAAGAAGACAATTTTTTCTCTACACAAGACAGGATACACAGAGATCCACACAGCCTTAGACTCTCTAAAATACAAACATACCTACTAGACTTTTCTTTTCTCTCAAGCTTTTTTTTTGGTGGGGGGGGGCAGGATTGTGATGGCTACAGCTCTTGAGGTAAATTTCAGTCCATCCAGAGACCTGCCACATTCATCATGATTTGGGGGCCAAAGAGGAAGTGAAAGTACATTTTGATTTGATGAGATTACATGGTGAAGTGGTAGAAATGGCATTCTTCCCAGGGACAGAGAAATATCTCTCTGGTTGAAAGGCAAGTTCTTTCTGGTGTTTAGCACAGCATTGTCATAGCTCACAACTTGATTTGAGGCCAGAGTCCTCCTTTGAAATTTGACATCACAGACATTCCTTTCCAAAGCTCTTCAGAAATCATGGCTCACTGTGACAAGCTGCACCCAGAAACCAAAACAGCATCTTTAAACAGACTTTTAAGTGTTTTCCCACTTGACATTTTTTTCTCCTGCTGTGTCAGAATATTTGAGGGGTAAACTGAGGAGGAGGAGAAAGAGGAGGAACTCAAGAAATGTTGTCAATTTATTCTAAGAGGGAGCCTGCCCCTGGTAGGCCCTCTGTGAAGATACCTCCCCACTCCCCCAGGATACCCTGTGGCTATGCTCTGAGCAACAGGAGTGAGCTCATCTGACTTATGGGCAAATATGAGTAGCAAAAGAGGTAACCTCCCTGTTGAGAAATTTGAACCCACCTAGGAAGCCCCATGTAATCCTCCATCATTTGATCATCCTGGACAGCTGGGCACCCACCCAGGGGAAGAAAGGCAAGTTGTTCTCACAGCACAGGATAGGTAGGGCTGGCAAGGCTAGTCCTACACACAGTGAATTCAATTAATGGGTCCATATGGGAGAGGAGGAAGTGCTCTGGAGTCTGGGTTGTGTGTAAAAAGGCTGTGCTTCCCCCACTAAAAAATGTATTCTTCTTGTAACAAAAGGCATTGCTCTAGCCTGGGAAATGTCAACCAGAAATCTGGGGTCTGGCTTCTCCCAGCTAATTACCTGGAGCCCAGACAGTGTGAAGAGAAAGTCCTCAACTCCTGTCATTTGCATAAGGGAAATTGCAATGATGTCCAACAATTATTCATCATAAATTGTCGATTCAGACTACTGCTGAAGGTGTTCCTTGCCCCTGAAATACATGTAATTCACTAGTTACTTGCCTCCCCACCCTCTGGATCATTCTGTCCCTGAGGGCTCTCACTTAGGCAGAGCTCCCATCATAACATTTTTCCCTTTCTTTATTATATCTTGGTTTTCTGATCACATTCTAATGTTTGATGTTAATAAACAGTAGTGCTATAAGCACTTCCAAGTAAGAATGGAACCTGGGATCTTAATTAAAGATCCATTACTAAGTGTGAATTATTATATCTTGGTTTTCTGATCACATTCTAATGTTTGATGTTAATAAACAGTAGTGTTATAAGCACTTCCAAGTAAAGATGGAACGCAGGATCTTAAATTAAAGATCCATTACTAAGTGTGAATCCTATAAAACTGTGAATGTCCTTGGACATTGAGACTTCCTGAAAAGCCCCTGAAAATATCAGGACTGCTGCTGCCTTTTGTGACAGCTCCTTCTGAAGGGCCATCCAGAGCCTGTTGGCCCAGACATATTTAGGTGTTGCTACATTGAAATTGGCTTGCACTGAAGGCATCAATTATGGCTTAAAAAATATTTTTGAAAAAAAACACAAACCCTGCTCAGATCATAGTGTCATGGGACAGACAGAGGCCTATTTTCCTCTCCTTAATGTGATGAAAGTGCCCCTATTATTCTCATGCTAAAAACACTCAGCTTCTGTTTTTATTCCATTTTGCACTGGGCCCTTTGACAAACTAAGTTTATTTTTTTGTTTTTTGTTTCTTTTCCCCCGCACATGTCTACTGGGCTTTACAGTGTGCAGGGATTTTGTGAACTTGCCTTGTCTAATCACTCCTTAATAGAGAAGTCATTGTCCCTAATTTTACTAATTAGGAAATGAAGGCACAGAAAGGTGAAGTGACTTGCCCCAAATCACACACGTAGAGGGGCCACATTTGGGGGATCTGACAGACCTGTATTCTAATCTCACCTCCACCTTCACTACCCCTAATCTCATCTGTAAAATGATGATAGTGTTGCATGAGTATATGATAATGTGCATAAAGGGCTTGCGCATGTCCCTGCAACAGAGATACTCAAAAAAACTGATGGAATAAATGAATAAATGTTGCCCTTTTGTGACTTGTTTTCCTGTCAGACTTCTCTTGATCTCTTTCTCATTGAATATTGACTCTTGCAGGAAATATGGAAAACCTTTAATCCCAATTGTGCATCACCAAAGACCCTTTTATTTTTCCCCACTCAGTGACCCCCATAATGAAAGCTGGTCTACCTGCCATATTCTCTGGATGACCATTTTCCTGTTTCATAAATAAAAAGCACATATGACTATCAATCCTGGCTCCTGGAGAATATGCATATGGCAGTGGCATAATTCTAGTTAAAATATCATTTTATAATTAAATATTAACATTTATCAAGCACTTACTTGGAGCCAGGTACAAGTACTTCATAAGACCTTTTGCCAGCATTTGAACCCAGGTGATTTGACTCCTGTGCTCCTTTTTTTTTTTTTTTTTTTTCCAAAGAGGGGTATTAAAGTCTCTGACTATTATGGTGTTATGGGATATCATATTGCTGAGACTCCTCAAGGTCTGTTTAATAAATTTCAGAGCATTTAAATCAGATGCAGAAATATTTAAAATTGAAATGTCATCTTCTTGTATTGTTCCTTTGGCCAATATAAAGTATCCATCCATCTTTATCTTTCTTAACTTTAGGTGCTCTAAATCAACTTGTATCTGAAAATAAGATTGCAACCCCTTCTTTCTTCTGATTTCCATTTGCTTAAAATACTGTTTTCCATCCCTTAACCCTGAGTCTTGATTTGTCCTTCAAGGCTAAGTGTGTCTCCTGGAGACAGCATATGGATGGTTTATGCTTTTTTTATCCAATCAGCCAGCCTGGGCCTCTTCAGTGGTGAATTCGGACCATTGACATTTATTGAGAGAATTGATAAGTGCGGTGGAGTTCTAGTCATCTTATTTTGTGAAAGTCCATTGTGTAGTTTTATCCTTTGCACCATTGGGGAAGCTAAGTTTTGACTTTCAGCTTCTGGGAGTTTACTTTGCTGGAGTCCATTGTGGTGGTCGGTGGTGAGACTAGATCTATGTATTTCCTGTGGAGCTGGTATTGTTGTGGTGAATATCCTCAGTGCTTGTACATCCACAAAAGATTTGATTTCTCCATCACTTTCAAAGTTTAGTTTATCAGGATACAGAATTCTGGCCTGAAATTGTTTTGGTTAAGAATGTTGAAAGTGGATGGACCATACTGTTCTGGCTTGGAAGGTTTCAGTTGAAAAGTCTGCCATAATCTTAATGGCTCTGTCTTTGTAGGTCAGTTGGCACTTACTCCTAACTGCTTGCAGAGTTTTTTATTTCATCTTGACTTTGAACAAGTTCATTACAACGTGCCTTGGAGAAGCTCTGAGGCTCTGAGTTGAGATGACCCAGGGTTCCAGATCCATCTGAAAGGAGTGTGTCAGGATCTTTAGTAAAATTTGGGAAGTTTCATTTATGATAGTCTCCAGTAGGATTTCCTTTCCTTTGGGACAATCTTCTTCCCCTTCAGAAATCCCTATTATTCTTATGAACGCTTGATAGAGTCTTGTGGTTCTCTAAGTGCCTGTTCTGCTTCCTTTCTCTTCTTTTCTGCCTCTTTAACTACCTGGGTTAACTTGAAACCTTTGTCGTCTAGCTCTGAGGTTCTCTCTTTTCCATGGTGCAATCTATTTTCAATACTTTCTATAGCATCTTTACATTCTCTGATTGTGTCCTTCATTTCCTTAAGCTCTGCCATATCCTTTCTATATTCTACATATCTCTCATCTAACTTTTGGTTCTGTCTTTCCATTTTCTTGTCGATTCCTTTTATTGTCTTTATCATCCATATTTGAAATTTCTTTTGTGTCAAGGTCATTACTTCTTTATAGGTGGAGTCTTCTGCAGTAGCTGTCTCATAGTCTCTTGGGGGAGTTGCCCTATTTTGGTTTTTCATGTTGCCTGAATTTATCTTTTGGTTTCTCCTTCTGTGTTCTTTCTTCTTGTTCACCTTGTCTTCCTTTTTACTTCTCACTACCTCCTTTGTTTCAGATAGAAGTCCTTGCTCTTGATGACAGTATATTGCAATATGTTGCTGGGATACCAGGTGGAGGCGTGGCTTTTTTAGGAGACAGAGAGTACAGCCAGCAACCTCTATGGTCTTTATTCCAAACTTAGTTGACTGTGGTGATTATCTGATTGTTTCCTCAGCATTCAGACCCTGCTGGGCTGGGATCTTAAAGTTTCTTCAGGGGCAAGACTCACAGTGCCCCCTGACTCCAGTTCCCATGGGGTACAGAGTCCGTCAGCCTTTCCCAAGTTTGGAGCTCTGATCCCAGCAGGTAGAATTAAGATGCCATGCTTTAGGCCCTTGTAAGACCTTCTCATGACCTTCCCACAAAGGCACCCCCCCAGCCACCAAGACCTCAGTATGGCTGCCTTGCCAGCCAGCAAACCTATGGCAAATCCACTCCAACCAGCATTTGAATCTGGTTCCTATATATTGTTTGAGTCCACC